AGAGAGAGAGAGAGAGCGAGCGATCAACCTAAAAACACAAGAATGCCACAGGCTACAGGCTACTGTCAAGGGTTTTAGAGGCTTAGGGTCTAGTTCTCAGGGTAGGTTGCTCCTGCCGCAGACCAGGCCTCCTGTTCTTGTGCGACATGACGTAAGCACTTCTTCCGCGGAAGTTTCTGAATCTGCGTGAGCTTACCCTTTGTGTCTTCCAGCTGCCAAGAACGGATGCCTTGACCCTGCGAAGGACAACGAACCCTAGTATTCCTCTGCTCGCAAAACGCCTCAACGGCAGAGAAAACAAACAAGCGAAATTAGATACATGGTGGTTTCAGAAACCAGGGGACCCTCCTAACCAACCTCGAATATCCTCAAATAAAAGGCCTCATTTATCATTAACAGCCCCTCACTGAGGTACCTCTGTTGTCTGCCAAGCACACAAGATTCAGACACTCCTCCTCCCTGAACCCTTTTACACCAGGCTTGCATGTCGCACCTGGCTATGTTGAAGTGCTGGCGACCCCTCACCACCCCCTTCAAAGGAGAGAGAGCATCTTAGAGGCCCACTCGTTTGGGACGATATCAAACGCGATGACGTAAGTCCCTGAACCCGAAACCCCAGTTGAGAAAAGATTCAGACACTCCTCCTCCTGCTCTAGGGTCTGCTTGTGAGAGAAGAGCTGGAAGATCAGGAAGGCGATGTACGCGGAAGCAACAAGCCTAAGGTTTGGGGTTTCCTTGTTTTTTGTTACTATTTACCATTCAGAAATATTGTTGGTTCTTACGATTGCGATTAGGATTAGGATTACTATCACCATTGCTGTTGCGATTACGATTACTCTTGCCCTTGCTTTTGCTATGACTATTACTATTACTCGCGGCATTTTTTGTCATTTTAACTGACAGTCATTATCAGAATTTATTGGTGAAAAGCATGTTCTCATTATTGGTACTAAGTGTTACTCGTGGAACTACGAGGCGCTTAGGAGATACAGTCTCACTACGGAATCAGGATCCAGAATGGCTCAACAGAAGACGTGAGCCGACAGAGCGCAGGGTAGTTAAGTGGCCTCCTCAGGACACGTCACAAAAGGGCCAAAATAACTCGAATGTGGTTTTGGTGTAGACTATGGTATATTCATAACATGCATTATACTGGTTTTTCTTATACTGGGTAAGCACTCGCCAGCACCTCAAACCAGAGAACGAGATCCTCTTCAAAACCATAAAGGCTGAGTCAAGGGGCAACGCTCCGAAGCGTGAGACGTCCAGCAGGTCCTCCATATCGCTTTCGTAGCCTGGCTACTGATACTTCTGGGTGTGGTCTCGGACCCTGCGCCGTTTACCAACTCCAGTGCCGGCTTGCGAAGGGCCTGCTCAAGGTGATCCCGAAACCCTAAGACCGAAGGCGACGAAGCAAGGAAGCCCCGGCTCAACGAACAAGAGAAGCCCGCGACCGAAATCTTAAAATCTTGATAGCATCACGTAAGGATCCTCACCAGCAGCTGCTCTGTTCTGATTTCTGCAGCCCTATCGACGAAAGTCCAAACCTTCCAGCCCCATGAGCCGTCAGCCTTGCGCAAACAGCGTGGGGAGTGCGAAGGACATGCAGCCTGAGAGTAGGGCATCTTCCAAGAAGCTTCGTGCGCGACTGGGGGATGGAAGAGCCTCGTGATGACTCTCTGTCTGAGCCAGTATCTCATCTAGCCAGAGGAGCAGAATATCAGCAAGCCCATGCTCATGATCACACCCTTCATGGCGAACTTCTGCTCCTTCTCCTGAGCCAGTCAGGCGATTCGACGCAAAGGCAGCAGCAGGGCCGAGGCAACACCGGCCTGCACCGCCGAGCCCAAAAAGCGCCTGCGCCACCCTTTAACTCCACGCAAAGTAGCCCAAAAAACCCAGGAGGTTTTCCCAAAGCGGAGGCTCAGGCATCCCTAAAGCTTGCCCAGCCTCAAGCCATGAACCTTACCTGGGCTTTGAAGTAACCAGGCAGAAAAAAGTATAGACTTTTATTTCATAATGGTTCCTTTAAGGAACAGGTCCCAAAAAAAGTATTAAAGTATGGTACTCCAAAGCCCAGTTACCTACTGGCCTGGGTTCGCGAATTCAGGGGGCACTCAGATAGTCCCTTTGGAATAAATCCTGCCATGCACTGTGGGATCCCGAAGCTGCTTTGAGGCATAATGTAGGAACCTGATTAAGAAACCCTGGCCCTATAACCCCAAAACATTAGGGCTCATAATTAAGAACCCCAAGAAAGGCCCAGAGTTTCTTAATCAGGTTCCTACACTAGGGCTCATTCTGCGGGTCTTGCTGCTCTTGCTGCTGACGGGATCTGTGTTTCGAGCGTGGGCCGCCGGCCTCTAGGATGGTTGTCACCATTCTCAACATGGCTAGGTTAATATAGGAACCTGGTTCGTATCCCTGGGCCTTGATTAGGGTTCTTAATTATGGACCCGAATATTTTGGGTGCTATGGGACCAGGGAAACGAAAATCAAGTTCCTACATTACTTTTCATCTGATGTGGGCCATTGTCAAGTGTGAAAGTACAGTCACCTCTCACACCGCAGCCTCAAATCCGGAACCGGAAAACCGGCTGCTTCAACAAACAAGTGTGGGAACAGAATTTCCCCCAGCATGGTTGAGTGAAATGTGCGCTTGAATACGAAAAGTAAAATGAAACATAAACAAGTCTTAATGTAGACCCTGAATATTATTAGTAGAATTGCAAGCATCCTTACAACAAAAGGACCCCGAAGTTTGAAGAAACCCGTATAAGTACAGAACTTCTTTATCCTGAACCCCCAAACCCGAAGCCCCTACAGAAGTCGACCCTTTCGTGCCAGAGGCTCCCCACCAACCATAACAGTGGCCGCCTCGACTTTCACCTGGCTGGCCAGTGCTCTCAAAATCCCGAGGTCTGAATGTTTAGTATTGGGGCCTTAATAACTAGAATAACTAGAATAGGGTTTTCGGTTTTCGGGCCCATTATACAATAATGATAATCATGAACCACAAAAATAATATAGGTAATTATTTAGGCCCCTACACTAGGGTCGAGGGTTTGGGTTTATGATTACATCGAGCCATACCAATTATAATAAGGAGCCCCCAAAACCCTATTCTAATTGATTCTTGCTCATCTCCGCATGTGCTTCCTTTCATGCCTCCTCCGTCTTGCGTCAGCAGTCATTCCTCCGTCTGTGCCGTCGTAGCACCAGCCTGTTGGAGCAACCAGCACCAAGACCTCTTGTGTGAGAAGCCGTTCTTGCTGCGAACCATCGCAGGCACCCAAGCGATGTGTCAGGGAACGATTTTGGAGCGACGCGCAAGCCACGAGCTAGCTGCGCTATCGGGAAACCAAGCTAGCGGCCGGTTTGGGCTGCGAGACGTGTGGGGTTCTTCATGAGGGCCCCAGGAGTCTTGCAGCCTCCACCCTGAACCCACCACCTCTTGAATACATAGGGTTGATTCTGGAAGGCAACAGCGGCCCTAGTCCCCTGGTCTTTGTAGCCATTCATTCGTGGGGGCTTTAGGGAAGTAGCCGCTGGCACAGAGGGGAGTCCACACGGTCCATGAAGGCCTGCAAAACCAAGTGTGGCCTTTCTCTGTCGGCCCTTTCCCCACAGCCTCCACGAACGTCGCTAATGTGGGGGGCCTTCATAGTTAGAATAGGGTTTGGGGGTAGATTATACTATAATTATAGCAATTCTAAAAACTCAGGCCCCTGCACTACGATGGGGCAACCTGGCCTAAGCAGGCATCTGAAACAGCACAGCAAGGTTCCCCAACTGACTCAACTCCCCACTAACCTTCCAACCCAGTCAACCCAAGATCCCCAACAACACACGGGTGGTTGTCAAAATTATGGTCCCTTTTTGGGTCCGTAGTATAATACGGCACCTAATATTTAGGGTACCCAAAAAGGGACCCTAATTTTGACAACCAGCCACACACAGCCAGACTAAGCTTCCCCAGAGTCTCCACTTGCAACAGGCCTTCACAAAGGCTTACACTCGATTTAAGTTCTAGGGCATGCTATACTGACTATCCTGTAAGTATGTACTGGGATCTAAGCAAAAACAAATGAAATATCAGGAAATGTTCGTCTCTCTCTCTCTCTCTCTCTCTGTACATACAGGCAGACAGACAGGCAGCCAGGCAGGCAGGCGGGCATGCAGACAGACAGACAGGCTGAGGGACAGACAGACATGCTTTCAGGTGTTCACTTACTTGCTTGTTTGCTCAGAATCATGAACCCTAAACCCTAAACCCTGAACCCGAAACCCTAAACCCTAAACCCTAAGCCCTGCAGGCCTGTGTCAGGCCACCGAAGCAGAAGGACATTCCCAGCACCAGCCTTCAGCTGGCAGAGGACTTACAGGCTTCACATGGGGCCTTGACAACTAAAACAAGGTTTCGGGGTATGCTATGCTTTACTTATGATAAGGAACGGCAAGGAAGGCCTCAGGTAGTCACAGCATGAACTAATGTAAGGGCCTAAACAATTAGAATAGAGTCTTGGGGTATCTTTTACTATAACCCTAACAAGGAGCCCCAAAAATAGTATCGGTAATAATTTTGGCCTCTATAGTAGAGATCTTCAGCTATTCCACAGCTTTCCGTGCATTGGCTCAAGGCATGGCCCCGCGGACAGAAAGACAGGAACTCTCATAGGAGGTTTGAAATGGACGTCTATAGCTAAAGATCACACCGCGCGATCTGGGAGGCTCCCAGTGGTTTTCCCGCTCTAACCGGAAAGCCGTTGATGATTTTTCGATTACTGCCCAAATGAACACTATCCTGTCCCTGCAGCTAAGGCGCAGAAGGTTCGATAGGATCGATCCTAGCAGGGTGCACTTCACCACGCTGGTGCGCTCGGCGAAGGGCATCCTGAACTGACAACAGCCCAAGCAAGCACCTTTCACTGTTGACTTTGGGCTTCAGGGCTGCAGGGCTTTAGAGCTGTATGGGCTGAGATGGCTTGCAGCTTTAGTACTGATGTTGGCTCCATGGCCTTGAGATCAACTCTGAAGGCTTGTTTTTGCACTCGCACTCGACGCACCCAGAACCTCAACAGTGACTAGTGCAATGTGGGTGATTGCTCATGGCTTAGAGTTCAGGCCGGCCTTCACAGTCGGACAGCCGTGACCATGTTTGGCGCAGGAGGATTCAAAAAGGGGACAAAAGAACCAGGCCACAGTGCACACTCTCTTGTGCTGAGTCAGAGCTCCGTGAGCACTGCTAACTTCTGTTGTCGCTAAATATATACATATGTATACATATATATATATATATATATATGCATTTCATTGTATATTCTAATATTTATACTATATGTACACATATATATATATATATATGTTCAATCAACTGTTGTTGCTGTCATCGGTACTGGCCCAGGAGCTTCCGCGACCTTAGGGTGTTGACTGTGATCATCATCTCGACCACGTTGCCTGGGAAGCAGGGAGCCGAGGTGGACCCGAAGAAAGCAGAGACTAAGGGTTTAGGGTTTAGGGTTTAGGGTTTAGGGTCACATCGCCGAGACGGCAGTGACAAAAGTGATGGAGAGTCGCGGCAGTGATAAGGATGACAAAAGAAGGACAATAAGATCTAAGAACACAAGAACAAAACGAAGCTGGAGACTAATTATTGAACATTGATCATAATCGTGATCCTGATGCGCGTGCTCGTGAACCAGAAGCTGAGAAAGAGTAGAACTCCAAGCTCCACTTTAGGACTTTAGGAGTAGGGGGATAAAGGTGCAAGCAGGGCCATGGATCCCTCAGGTCGTTGGAATCCTCTCGCGCCCCAGAAAATGTGGAGGGGAGGCAGCCATGGGCCCGAGTTGAAAAAGGGGCATCCATACAGAGTATATAGATATAGACAAGCTTTGGCAGCTCTCGGTACCACTCGCGAATACTCCGAAAGGTCCAAGAATGGCTCCAATAAGGGGAAGGCCGAAGTCTCCGACAAAACTGAAGGAAAATGAAACACCGCCACAGCCAAGACGCCGAAGGTGGCATTCAGCATACCGGCCACCGCATCGTTCTTGATGGCCACGGCAAGCTCCTAACGACACAAGACATAAGGGGCCCAAAGCAACTGCGGGATCCTCTTTCTACGGACCCCACGCAGCTAATTGCCCCCCAAACCCCCGAATCTAAACCAGAACAACCCTGAACCGCGAGGCCATACACTTAAGCATATCTTAACCCCTGCGCTTGAAACCCACGCATTAAAATCTGTGATCTTAACTCCTAAACTTTAAACCCCCCGCTACCTTCAAAAGTCCTAAGCCGTAAATCCTTTGTTGCTACTGGACTCAAGTCTAATCAGCCCCGACGGACCAGCAATCGCCAGCCCGAAATCCCAAACCCAACAGTTCCCTGCATAGTTCCGGGGACATGAGGCTTTCTCGTGGTTTCACGCCGACTTTGCCCGATAGAACTCGCCCGGATTGTCCGAGTTGTGGTAGAGTCTCCATTGTAGTTCCTTTTTGGGGTTACCTTCTGAGATCCTGAACATTTATCCTTAACCTTTCTGTTGAACGAGGTCTTTCACCCTAAACCCTCAACCCTCAACCCTGAACCCATATAATTGGTTAAACCAAAAAAAGGCACGGCAATGGCGACTGTAGGTAAACCCCAAACCTCAGAAAAAACCCGGAGCCTCCGTCGCGTCGCCCAGGAACTTCGCCAAAGGCAAGAGGGCCTCTGAACTCTGAAGTTTTTGAGGGTTTGGGTTCTTTTCTCCCTAAACCCTAGGCCCTTTTTTGAAACCCTTTTTTGCATCAGGACTTGTGCAATAAAACCCTAAACCCTAAACCGTAGGCCCTAAACCCCTAAATTTTCAGGGTTTGGGGTTTAGGATTTAAGGCTTAGGGTCTTAAGGCATAGGGCTTATAGGAGTTAGGCTTTATGGGCTGGTACACTTCTCGAGTTGACGTCATCCTTTCGCGGGCCATGCCAACCGGCTCTGTGTCGTTTCAACTTCTTGTGGGTTGAAGGTCTCGGCGCTCAGGGTTTTGGGACTTGAGGGTTCTGTTTTCAGGGTTGTGGGTTTAGGGTGATTTTCTTGGAAGCTTAGGGCTCAGGGCTTTCAGTTTCAGGGTCAGGGGCTTCGGGGTTTCAGGGTGTAGGGCTTAGGGCTTCCAACATCAAGTTCACCTCAGATTCTGGTAGGCTATGTAAACCGCCTGCTCAGCTACTGAGGCTTTCTGGCGAGCTCAGGATGACCAGAGATGTTCTTGCTGAACTTTCGACTCTCAAAACTGGGCTTCTTTGGTTTCGAGGTTTCCGGGCTCCCCACACTCCCATGCTTCGGCGGCAAAGCACCGAATGCTTCGTCGAAGTGACTCTGAGAGCTTTAGTGGTGTGATTCGTGGACCTTATTCATTTGAACTTGAACAGGTTTGGGCTTATTATGTCTTTGAGGGACTAGGTAGGCTTTTGGAGCACATTATTGTAAGTCAAATGAGCTTAGTGTCGGATTTCTTCAAGCCTACACTGATTCACACATCCCTCAACAGCCTAAGATTGCAAGTCGGCCAATCGCTCCCAAACGCTTAACCCTGTGTGCTAGGCCATAGGGGGAGGTTTTAACTGAAGGAACCCAGCAAGCCCTAAGACCTTGGCATCATCCGAGGAGTTCAATCCGCACGCCGAACCCAAAACCGACACTGAAAAGCTGTTCAGGAAAGTCAAACCCTGAGCCCTAAACTTTACGCCGTTTCTCTCCGTCTCTCTCTCTTTCTCTCGCTCGCTCGCTCTCTCTCTCTCTCTCGCTCTGTCTCTCTCTCTCTCTCTCTCTCTCGCTCGCTCTCGTTCTCTCTCTCTCTCTCTCTCTCTCTCGCTCACAGCTCTGTCAGCCTCAACTGCCAACCTCATAACCTACACCGTGAACCATAAATTTTCCTAAACTCCCCAAACCCTCAACCTCAGACCGGGCGCCACGAAGTTCAGCACGAAGGTCCAGCCATCGCCCCAGCCGAGCGTCTCCGAGGCGGCTCCCAAGGGAACGAAGACGAGCAGCAAAGTGAAGGGGGAGTAGAAGATCTCCTCAAGGCCTCATTTTCGCGCCTAGCTAGGACGAGCTCGCATTGAGGGTTAAGCCGGAGAGAACCGTTGAAAGCCTCTAGCTTTGCCAAACGCATCTGACAGCAATTGAAAGCTTCAGTAGTAGGGACGCAGTCACTGACACCTCCTCAAGGCCTCATTAGGACTTGGGGTTTTGGGTTCAGCGCTTTGGGCTTGGTGATCCGATACGACGTGCCTCAGTTTCGCCTTGTTGGATGCTTTGTTTGGTGGTTTTGAGGCATGTTAAGCCTGAAGGTTTCCCTGCCTCCCAGCAGGGACACATTGCAGGCTGGTCAGGGCTTTGGGCTTTGAGGCTTAGGGCTAAGCTTTGCAAAGGCCTGAAAGGTGGCCCCAAACCGCACCAGGGTCAGAAATCCGGAAGCGTTTAGGTTCCCGGGCCGGAATGATTAGAGCAGATTGGGCGGAAATTCTCTACCAGAAGTGTATAGGGATTCGTGGAAGAGATGTGCAATGGGGCTGTGGCATCGCAGATTCGTGATGAATGACATAACAAGGTCTCTGCACCATGTTCTCTCCCTATGTTGCACCTAGGTGCGCTGGAGCCTCGGCAAGCCCCTTCGACAGTCGGGCTCCCTTCGCCCCCCTTCAGGAGATCGATATGGATAGTTCTCTAAAATAGGGTCCCTTTTTAGGGCCCCAACATAGTACGGCACCCTTATAAAAAGGAACCCCGAAAGGGACCCTAATTTACAGAACTAACCATATTCGAACAAGTCCAAAACCAAAAAATCTCGAAAGATCAGGACAACCGGCCCAAGATGCCGCCGCGCGGCCCTCCTTATTCGAGGAGACGGCCTTGGAGACCTTCGAGCCCGACGAGGGCTCCCTCTGCGGATCCAGGAAAGGCACGGCCAAGGCCTTCGGAACGGTGCTCGGATTTGGGGCATGGACCCTTAAAGGGACCCTTGGGGTTATATGGGGGGCTTTATGAGACTATATAAGGGGTATATAAGGGTTATAAAGGGTATTAGGATTAGGGGTCTACGGCGCAGTTGGATCGGCGAATCGGACTAACATCGGATGTTTCACAGCGTGCTGTCTTGCATTGTAGAGCTTGGCTGTCCTCTGCAATGCTGCACGATCAATTACCACGGGTTGCAGCAGCTCTTTGCATCTGTTGACATCGCCCTCCTGCGGCTTGGTTATTCGAGGTCCAAAGTCAGTAGAACGTGGCATGTCACCACTGGGCAGGCCAAGGTCGTGGAAACGCCGGTTCCAATGTCAAGGGTGATGAGGATCCTAGCATGTAGGTTTCTGTTGCCAGCCCTGAAGCAGATGAACTTTCAGCTCTTCCGGGGTATGGTGAACTTAAGCTTCTGAGCTTGAAATAACCCTGAAAACAGTTCTGCAGCCGTTGGGATGCTTCATGAACGAATGGCAGGCCCGTGATTCAATTACGTTCGGACTTAGCTGATCCTGTTCCTACTCCGGCCTTTGTTTTCGGATTCAAGGTTTCGGTTGCGGTAAAGTTGGGGTCTGAAGTTTTCTTTGATCGGCGAAATAAGAATCCCCGGATCGACCTCTCCGCTCTTCTCCGACTTCACCGAGTCCAGCGCAACTACGGGAAAGGTGCCACCGCCGCTGCCGCTGTAGGAGGCTCTCAATGCCCTGCGCGCGATGTAAAGCTGCTGAGGCGAGGCGGCTGTCGAATCCAGGATGTGTGCCACCGTCATCCTGGCAATGCTGGGGCTGAGGGTTTAGGATCGCAGTGAAGAAAGGGTGGTTGAGAGCCAAACCACACAAATCATGCGGCAACCACATGCAAAGTTCAGACATGTTCTCATGCCGTCCCTGCATTCGAAGCCCTGTCCGACGGAAAGACAGCAACAGATGTCCAGTCCAAAGTTTGGCAGGCAGTTGGGGAGCTAGCAAGACAACCGGCAAGGGAGCAGTTGACCAAGCAAGCTCTCACAAATAACTTTTGAGAAATAGGCAAAGGATACTGGCAGCAGCCGGTCTAATTCAGCGGTGCCACCAGCGTCCAGCTGGCTCCGACAGCCCACCGAGGTGCGAACCTGGCCATCCGACATCCCAACTCGAGACGCGTCAACAACACAGAGCCACGGCCATCGTCGAAAGCACATCGGTTGTGAGTCGTGTCGCAACTTTGCATCTTCAATCGCAGCTAATCGCCCATTTTGGTCTCACCACTTCTTTGGGCGCCATGCAATGCAAGGGGCTCCAACAAGTGTCGGTCCCCGACCGGGTCCCCTCCAGTATTGGGAGTGTCTGGCTCCCTGCTCCCTGAAAAGTCAGGCCCCGCCTCCTTCGCCGGCTCCTCTCGACCTCTCGAAGTCGCGGCCAGCTGGCGAGCCGAAACACCGCGGAGTTCAAGCGGCATTTAGCAGCTTCTTGGCTTCGGTAGGTTTTGACAGTGTAGGGTTTAGGAATGTTGAGGTTGTAGGACTTCTTGGTGCTTGGTTCATCTACGCAGTCTTCGTGCCCATGGAGCACGCTCTTGGCCTTGCGGAGAGAACCAAAGGCGACTTTTCGTCAGATTGCTTGAGCTTTGTGTGAGACGTATTAGCTGAGCAATAAACACACTCGCGGAGTAGACATCTGCACAAGGCTGTTCCAAAGCCGTTCCCATTGCCAGGTCCATCTTCGAAACCCGAGCTGCCAGCACCAGAGTTGGGCCGAAGTTGAGTTCACTTGGCAGTCTTTGCTCTGAAAACACTGTTGCGCAATTTGTGTCAGGGGCCGGGGTTCTGTTAAGCGTCAGCAAAGCACTCGGCCGAACTTTTTCAAAAATGGACACTGGCATGCGGAGTAACTGCACAACAACAGGAGCACCTACACCCTCTCTGACCAGTTACCCACAGAAGGCTTTTCCCTAGCAGTTGCCCATTGCCAGGTCTATCTTTGAAACTGCCGCCTGCACTCAAACTATAGAGCCTCACGACTTTCAGACCAGGAGCGCCAAGATGCACAAATCAAGACATTGACTTGAGCGGGAGCCACCAGGCCTCACGAGCAAAAACGCTAAGAGAATGGCCTCGGGCCAGAAAGGCACCATACCGTGATGGCCCGCGGGTGTAGAGCTTCAGCTAAAGTACCTCTACCCGAAAGCGATACCACTCACGCGTGCTTAAGGCCGCAAAAGCTCTCTGTTTGGCAAGGTCGTGCTGCTCCCATTGAACCCCGAGCTGGCTGCTACAGTAGATCTGACTCGTAGAAAGCGCGATAGGAGCACCGACTTCTGGCATTCGTCACCTGCGCCCCCATATGAAGTTCGCTGCACAACATGACATCCTTCCAGTGGAAGTCTCCGGATTTGTTCAGCGAACGATAGTCGTGATGACGCACAGGTGTCTGATAGAATACTAAACAGGCAGGCAGGTCCCTGGGCTCCCAGGGCCGCTCGCCAGGACCACGCCCTTGTTTCTTGTCAAACATCTCTTCCCCGCTCCCGATGCAGACGTCCGGTTCCCGGGCGACGTGCAAACCAAGCGCAGCACGAGCCAAGTCACACCACCTCACATCCACACACCATGTGGCGCCTTGACCGATCCACTGCATGGCCTTGCCATTTCGGAGAAGCTCTGCTCTTAAAGCCATCCATGCCTGCGGAGTGAGCACAGGCGTCATTATCTCAACGATCCCAACCTCAGCAGCGATCAAGGTGGGATCAACGTGCCACCCGGTTTTGCTAGGCGGAATTCGCAGGATGTCCCCTTTTTTTAAGTCTCTCCACCGTGCCATCTTGTCATGAGTCTCCTGTTTCCCAGACCCAAAACAACAGGCTGGGCAACCTGCGGGCGAAAATACAGCATCTGTGTCCAAAAGGCGAACCAGTTCACCATCGAGACATTCACATCTCCATCTGCCAGCCACACATAGTCGTATGCTGACACCACCGTTTCAGACAGATGAAGCAAACAAGCGTTGAGCTTGCGGGTTTTCGGTGCGTATATCACGGATACGTTCAAGTCAAGGTCAGATGTATTAATGAAATCAACCTTATCCCACACCAGAAGGATCACATCCAAGTCAACTCGCAAGTGTGTGATGCCTGCATAGCAAACAACATCTGCGGGCCACTGGTCCGGCGGCAGATCTTGTGCCAACTCGGGTTTCGGCCACGGTCCTTTCCGGGCGGCGCAGTGGGACATATTGGCGGTTTGAACACCTCTGGTCTTCTTAGCCAAAGATCTGATATCATCTTTGGTGAATTCCACCTCCGAGCGCCCGATGGTGCGAACCATCAACACCTTGAGCTTGCTCGC